GCCGAAGCGTCAGCCATTTCTGGCCAGCAACTTTCAGCGTCATTAAGCCGCTGCGCCACCGTGTCCCCCTTCACTATATATTACTAATCCCCATCTCATTTTTACCTCAAAATCTTGTACATCATGATTAAGCAAACCTTAGAATAAGGGTTAGAATATTCCTTAGAAGAATAAGTCATATTCTCAGTTAAAAACATGGAAAATCACTATAGCCTTTTGTGACAAAAAGAAGAAAAGCACAGCCAGACTCCCTGCCCCTCTTGTACAGCAAACTCATAGTGTACAGTTTTGATAGGGACTGCAGGAATTGGTTATTAATATTTCCTTTCTTGCCATCTTACACTGCGAAAAAACCAAACCATCTTGTCACACAGTTTCTAGAATGCATTTAGGATGTGAAGATGGTTTTGTGGTTAAGATGTGGACAGTGTGCTTTAAAATAATGCCATTTTAATCTAAAAACAATTTAAATGCTTAATTACAAGTTTAACTTATAAGCACTTTGGTGATCACACATTTCATATTATATAAAAGGATATTCATGAAAAAAAACTTTGTGAAACAGTTGCCTCTGAAACATAGCAATCTGTACATATTGCTGTTTTTCTTTAATCTGTAGCACTTCAAAGAACAAAGTTGCTTTTGCTTTGCTCTAGTCAGCCAGTGGATTTCTTCTTACTGCGTTGAACAGAATCCAGACACAGTCATTAGCATCGATGCATATTTTGGTCCTTATTGCACTTTTAAGTACCACTAAACTATTTCAAAAATGTCCCTGTGGTACAGAGATTAATATTAACAGTAAGAAACTCAGTATATTTCTTTTTCCCACTTATTTCTCTACATATAAACTTTGTTATCCCTCAAAGGAGTTTAGCCAGAAAACGTAACACAGTTTGGTTTCACAGTCAGGTACCATTCTTAATCTAGTCTTGTCTTGGGAGGTAGGGAAATACAGAGATGAATTATATAGGTTGATTTTCTGAGCCATTCTGGCTGAAAAGGCAAGGGGGATATAGAACTGATGTGTACATTCAAAATATTACTTGTAATAATCTTTTGTTTTTTCATTTGGAATTATGTGTACCAAGCACAGCTCCCATTTGTATTTTTTCCTTTCCTTTAGCTTTTCCTCCCACTTTGTAATTTAGAGAGAGAAGTTGGGTTTCTTCCTTCATATCCAGTCCCTCCCACCTATTCCCTCTGTCTAATCTCTCAAGAGGATAGGATTAGACTTGCTTACAGCTCATATAATATACAGGTGAAACTCGAAAAATTAGAATATTGTGCAAATGTTCATTTATGT